GAAGCGCAACTACCGGCGCCTGGCCCTGCGCTGGCACCCAGGTGCGCCCCGTCCCCCGCAGCGCGGCCCGGCCTGGCCCGGCCCGGCCCGGCCTGACCCTGTCCCCGCTTCCTTGCAGACAAGAACCTGGACCGCGCCGAGGAGGCGGCCGAGCAGTTTAAGCTGATCCAGGCGGCCTACGACGTGCTCAGCGACCCGCAGGAGCGCGCCTGGTGAGTCCGAGGGGCCGGGCCGGGACCAGCCGCCACCGCCTGACGTCAGCGCTTCTCTTACGTTCGTGCTTCTCTTACGTCAGCGCTTCTCCTTTTACTGGCCGCAGAGGTGCCTTTCCTCCTGCCAAAACTTCTTTCCCCTGAGTTTATTCCCTTTATCTCAGGGCTTTTTCCTACCCGAGGAGCTCTTTTCCTTTACCTCACGGCTGCCTTCGCCCCGGAGGTTTCTCCTCGACCCCACAGGTTTTACGTCAGAGTCTGGTAGCAGCAGCAGCCCTTGAGCCCTCTTCTACACGTGACGCTCCTTGATGCCTCTCTGCGTTTCTGGGGTTCGTTGTGCCCTCGGGCTAGCACCATACCTAGACTCCAGGTGGTCCCAGGCAAACTTTTAGTATCAGGCCTCTGCTTTCCCAGAGATTGTGAAAATAATGATTATTGTTATCATTATTTTCAGGACCCTTTTCTATCCAGGCTCTGGGCGGTTGCCCAGTTTGCCCATGCCTGTGTCTGGCCCTGCCTCAGACGTGCTCTGGACTCCAGGGGGCTGAGTTGAGCACCCGCTGGTTTTACGTTCATCCGTGTGTTTCTTGTTTGGAGGGACGTTCAGCTCCGTGCTCAGGAAGTGCCACCTTCATCTTGCACCAGGGCTGTGAGGTGGCAGCAAACGTGGCACTGTGGTAATGCCTGGACAGCACATCTGGACCCCAGCAGAGCCTGCAGCTCACAGGCCTGCAGTTTGCTGCAGCACAGGCTAGGTTCAGGCACTGGATAAGTTACTTCCAAGCCACTTCAGCTGTAGGCATTGCAAAGTCAACGCCACCCAGCTTGGATGTTTAAAACTGTCCAACTGTCCGAGATGCATTTTGCACCTCGTATGAGCCTTCAGAGTTGTAAGAAAAATAAGGAGTTGGAGTCTGCAGATAATAGCTGCTGAGGTTTTTATTTCCCTTTTGGTTCTGTATGTGTGTCTCAAACACAAAAAAGTTGGTGTAAACCAGCAATTGTATAAAAGCCGTTAAATAATTTCCTTTTATTTTAGTGTGGAAAGAACATAACAGACAGCTTGTGTTCTTCAATTCCACTAGGTACGATAATCACCGGGAGGCTTTGCTGAAAGGAGGCGTTGATGGGGAGTACCAAGATGACAGTTTGGATCTGCTGCGTTATTTCACTGTTAACTGTTACTCCGGATATGGGGATGACGAGAAGGTAACGAACTAACCCGTTGTGAGCACAAGCAGTTAAACAGGGGAATTCACGTTGGTGCACTGAAACCCTTTCTTGGAAACTATGTTCCTTAAATGCTTAAGGAAAACTAACAGAAAGGCAAAACATATATCTTACGTAGCTGATCAGTTCTGAGCACCCAGTTGTCTTACTAAACTCTGCAGAGCTGTATTCGTTCTTTTATGTGATCTGTCGGTAGGCCTTTCACAGTACCTTCTCATTAGGCTGAGATCCCTTTCACAAGTCAGAAGATTCAAGGATATACAAAACCAGTGTTCTGCTAGTATTCTAGGTCCTAGGCCAGGTGTTTTCCAGTTTCCAGGAAAAGCTGAAAATAGTGACTGCGAGTCCCAGGTGTTTGAAAGAGACCTTAGGGCACCTCTCGCGGGGTGCAATTCTTTTCTAGACTGTGCTTAATGACCCTGCCAGCAGCTCTGCAGGTGAATTCTGTTCTAGAAAATCTTGCATTTGGAATTCGCTCTTTAGCGAATGACCTGAATTTGCTGGCTTTCAAGGCATGCTGCAAACCCTCTCTAGTTAGGCTTTTGGTAATGTTTAAGTTCAGATGCTGGAGTAGAGTTACACTACTGAAATGTAACTAAGGATGTGACTGAGGCAGGAATCCTAAGCACCTCTTAAGGTTGTGTGTGCAAAAGCAGCTACTGCAGCTGCTAGATGGCTGTGCTGCCTCTCCCAGAAGCCTGGATGCAGCTGATGCCTCATGCACAGCACTACCCCATTA